AGGAAGGTAGGTAGCTAGTGTGGGTCTCCATGCTTCGTTTGTGTGTTGTCATAGGGAATTTCTGAGCACACACCTGTAAATGTATGATGAGATAAATATATGTGCTACTATACCACACAAATTTTTTATAAGGGGAATTTTCTCCTCCAGCAAATACCTTGCTCACCCCAGGGGTAAGTACACTCCATTCAGAGAACCTTAAGTAAGTGGTATCAATAAATGACACTGGAGGAACTGGTTTAAGAAGGCTGACATAGGATCCTGTTAGAAATGCTACATTTTCTCAAGTATGTCCCTTGTTACCTTTTAAAAAATTTTAAGGGAGAGAGAAGGAGAGAAACATCAACTGGCTGCTTTTGGTAAGTGCCCCAGCTGGGGACTGAACCTGCAACCCAGGCACGTGCCCTGGACAGAACACCATCAATGACCCCCTTCGGTTTGTCGAACAACACTCAACCAACAGCCACACCAGCTGGGGTGCCTTTATTGTTTTATTTCTGCCAATTGTTGAAGTTGACCCAATGTGTCATGAAGGAAAATAAACAAATAAAAGGAATCCCTTGGACCCTAGGCAGTAGGCAGGAGAAGTAACACTGAAAGGCAGTGTAGTGTATGAAAAGTGTGGACTTGAGCACTACAGCTTGGGATGTGACTGGCGATGTATTTGCTATATGACCTTGGAAAGTTAAACTCTGAACCTCAGTTTCCTCCCTCCTAAGTGGCTTGTGAAAGTTAAATGAAATTAATTACATATAAGTATTTAAAACAATGCCTGGTGCACAGCCGGAATGCAGTAGTGATGGCTGTTAGAATAATTGAATGCCACTATGTGCCAGGTACTCTTTTTTAAAAAATATATTTTATTGATTATACTATTGCAGTTCCCATCCCCCCCGCTGCTTATTCCCCTCTTCCCTGTACCGCCACTCTCATCCTCATTCCCCCTGCCTCATTAGTTCATGTCCATGGTTGTGCTTGTAAGTTCTTTAGCTTCCTCATTTCTTATACTGTTCTTAACTTCCGCTGTCTATTTTCTACCTACCATTTATGCTATTTATTCCCTGTGCCTTTTCTCCCATTCCCCTCCCTGTTGATGACTTCCATGTGGTCTCCATTTTTGTGAATCTGTTCCTGTTCTAGTTTGCTTTAGTTTTTTTTTTAATAGCTCTGGTTGATAGTTGTGAGTTTGTTATCATTTTACTGTTTATAATTTTGATCTTTTTCTTAAATAAGTCCCTTTAACATTTCCTATACTAAGGGTTTGGTGATGATGAACTCCTTTAATAACTTCACCTTATCTGGGAAACACTTTATCTGCCCTTCCATTGTAAATGAAAGCTTTGCTGGATAGAGTAATCTTGGATGTAGGTCCTTGCCTGTCATGACTTGGAATACTTCTTTCCAACCCCTCCTTGCTTGCAAGGTTTCTTTTGAGAAATCAGCTGATAGTTTAATGGGAACTCCTTTGTAGGTAACTGTCTTCTTTTCTCTTGCTGCTTTTAAGGTTCTCTCCTCTTTCATCTTGGCTAATGTCATTATGATGTGTCTTGGTGTGTGCTTCCTTGGGTCCAACTTCTTTGGGACTCCCTGAGCTTCCTGGACTTCCTGATAGTCTATTTTCTTTGCCAGATTGGGGAAATTCTCCTTTATTATTTGTTTCAATAAGTTTTCAATTTCTTGCTCTTCCTCTTCTCCTTTTGGCACTCCTATGACTTGGATGTTGGAACGTTTAAAGTTGTCCTAGAGCTTCCTAAGCCGCCTCTTTTTTTTTGAATTCTTGGTTCTTCATTCTGTTCTGGTTGAATGTTTATTTCTTCCTTCTGTTGCAAACTGTTGATTTGAGTCCCAGTTTCCTTCCCTTCACTGTTGGTTCCCTGTACATTTTCTTTTATTTCACTTTTCATAGCCTTCACTTTTTTCCTCTTGCAACCATACTTTCTCCTCTATTTTGCAACTATTTCTATGAGCATCCTGATTACCAGTGTTTTGAACTGTGCATCTGGTAGGTTGTCTCTCTGCTTGTTGCTTAGTTCTATTTTTGGAGCTTTGATCTGGTCTTTTATTTGGGCCTTTTTTTTTTTTTTTTTTAATCTTGGCTGTTACATAGTATAGGGCAGAGCCTTAGGTGTTCACTAGGGTAGGGCAACCCAGGTCCCTGGGTTGTGGTGTTGTCTGTGGGGGAGGTGTCTGAGAGGGAACAATGCTCCTTCCTTGGCTCTTGGGCGGTGGTTTTCAGTTACTTCCTCCACTACCCACAGGCAGAGTGGGCCCTTCTGGTGCTGATTCCTGTGTGGGTGGGTTTACATACATTCTAGGACCCTGTGGGTCTCCAGCAAACTCTCCTATGAGGCTGGGAGTTTCTTCTGCTGCTGCAACCCCCACAGGTTTTTTTAGGCATAGGTTTTGAGGCTTTATTTCTCCACCCTGGAACCCTGGGTTGTGTATTTTGTCTCGCTCCCCAGTTGTTCCTCCTGATTTCCCACATTTGCAAACAAATGTGGGACTGCCCGGTCTTCCAGTTGCTGCCTTGCTGTGAGTTCTCTCCACCTCAGCTGCCTGTTTTCTGCCCTTCCTACCAGTCTGGGTGAATGTTTCTTCTTTAACACCTCAGTTGTTGGACTTCCATACAGTTTGATTTTCTGGCAGTTTTGGTGGTTTTTTGTTTTTATATTTGTTGGCTTTGTTTTGGTTGTATAAGAAGGCAAAGTACAGCTAGGCCTCCATCTTGGCTGGAAGTTCAGCATCTGTTTGTTTGAATGAAGGATGCAGTTTAGTGGGAGAGGATGCTTGTGAGACCTTCAAGAGAGGAATGAATAAGTCTTTGGTTTTGGGGGGGGAGTGAAGCATTAGGTGACCCGCATTTCCACCAGGGCCTCGGGCCCATTCTCCCTGAGCCCCTCTCCAGCCCCATCCATGGCTGCTGCTTCACTAGGCCAGGAGCCTGTTTCCTGGGCCAATTTGATCATACATGAGCCTTCAGTCCTCCTCTGGAGCTACTGAGAAGAGGGCTGTGGGCATGGTTGGTGGTGACTAGAGTCATGTCCCTGCTAAATGATAGAGTCAGTTTAATCTCCAGCACAGCGTGTCAATCTAGGCCTCAGTGCTGTGGGGCTGGGTCATAGGGGCTGGTTCTCTGAGGGCTGTGGAAGGTCATTTCCTTCCACTTCATCCACCTAGTTCACGGGCTGTCTAATACCTTAAATTCCTTTAACGATGATAACATGTTTCAATCTTTGATCATTACTGAGGAAGATGCTTTTGGAAAGAAGGACCCAGAGAATGAAGTCACTGTGTAGTCATAATCAGGTGTCTGTAGTTGTCTGAGAGATGGAAGAGAGAGAGAGGTGTGTTGTCTGGACGTGGAGTTGACAACAGAGGTGGGACTAAAATGATGGGAAGAAGGAAAGTGAGAGGATGAATGAACAGGACACCCTTTTCATGTGTTCTCAGTTCTCTTGAGGGTCCTACCTGGCCAGGCCTGGGTTTTTGTAAGTTATATGACAGTCAACACCTGTTCTACACCAGGGTCTGTCCTCACAGTGTTCTGTGCTGCCCGAATGGGATCCTGTTGCCTTTAAGTCATTTATGTAAGCTTGAGCATCTTGTGAGAATATGGACCCTGATATAGGAGGGCAGTGGTGGGGCCCAAGATTTTGTGTTTCTAAGAAGTTGCCAGATGATGGTACCAGTCCACAGGCCACATGCAGTACCCTGATGAGTGCTGGTAGTTGGGTTTCCATGTACCTACTGAGTCTGATCAGTGATTAGTGCCCAGAGGGCTGTGCCTTGAGTGCCTGCTGGCCAGAATCTTAATCAAGGACATCCTTGACTCCTAGAGGTTTTCCAGAGTATGGATGTTACCCCACCTCTCTGCAGAGGAGGGTCCTATATGTTGCTAGTAGGGGTTCATATGTCTGACTGGGCAGGTTGGTAGTGCTTCCCTTTGGAGCCTCCTTGTTTACTTTTTATGCCTCTTAATGATTCACACACCCAACATCACCAGTTCTCAGAAATCAGTTTGCATGTTCATGGTAAAATGTAAATGACCGAAAAGTAACGTTCCTCATAGGAAGGCTGGTGTCTTCTCTGGAATTAAATTATGGACCTTAAGGATCAAGACTTGCCCTGGCTGGTGTGGCTCAGCGGATTGAGCACTGGCCTGCCAACCAAATGGTTGCCAGTTTGATTCCTAGTCAGCACATACCTGGGTGGCAGGCCAGGTACCCAGTTGGGGGCACGTGAGAGGCAACCACACTGATGTTTCTTTTCCTCTCTTTTTCCCTCCCATGCTGTCTAAAAAGAAATAAAACTTTTAAAAAAGAAAAAAAAGGATCAAGGCTCATTTCAGCTGTGAGCTGGAGTTGGAAATGTTTTGGGACACCTACCTGACCTCAGTGAAGTAAAGAAGGCAGTGGCCTGCCTTGTCTGTATGAGGTGGTATCTACTTTGCTGGGCTCCTCAATAGTGGACATAGAGGAAGGAGGAGGAGTCATTTTAGCCCCGCCCAGCAGTGTGGCGTCTGTTCATTGTCAGCCTCCACTACCGATAACTTTAGATTCACGCTTTGGCATTCCCAGAATTCTGTTCTGATTTGAATGTTAGTTGAGTGGGTCTGAGCCCTGATGACGTCACCTGCAATTTTTGTCCACTCAGACCTTGTTGATAAGTTCTCACTGTAACTTTGAACTCAGGAAGTTCTGGTGGTTAAAGAACTCTTTTTTTTTTTTTCCTTTCTTTGCTCCCTCCCCTCCTCCTCCTCCTCCTCTCCCTCCTCTCCCCTTCCCTTTCCCTTTCTCTTTCTTCCTTTCCCCCACTTCTGCCATACATACCCCGATAGTCTACTTGTGTGAATTGGTCTAGTTTGGTTTTCTAAACATGTACACCTGCCTTGCTACATATTCTCCTTTTCTCTTTACATTGACCATAGACCAAGAAAAAAAATTTTTTTTCAGTGAAATGTGAAATTTTCCACTTTGGTAAAATAATTCTCATTTTGAACATTTAGCACACAACTGAATATTTATTCAGCTCCTAAGCTAGTATCACTCAGAGCTGGGAGTTGTAGGAGCAACCTAAAAGCCAAGTGAGCGCTTCCAAGGGTGGGAGGGAAACACAGACATGGGCCGGCCTTGTGGATGGTGGGTCACTTGTCTGCTGGGATCTCTGAAAAGCAAGACGCCAAGTCAGAATTCTGAGTCTGCTGTCTGGCCTTTCTTCCACGATGGTGACTACTGAGGTGGTGGGCTGCAATGTGGGGGCCACTGGACTGTGACCTGGGCAGTTGCCTGAAAGCTTTTGAGTGTTGGTCTCCTTATCTGCACCAAAGGGTGAGTGCAGTTCTCCTGCCTCATGGGGTGGGCGGTGGGCGTGATGCCGTGATTTGGGTGGGGGGGGGAGTGTTTTGCAGGTTGTAGGGCACTTCCAAAGGCAGCTCTTTGCCTTCTTGATCAGGAAGAAGTTGGGTGGCATCTTTTTAAGATGCAAGATGGGATTTAAATAAAAAGCAAAACAACTTTTCTTAACTGGCTTCTGAGCTCATTCTGAATGCAATTGTAGCACTAAATCTTTTTGTTTGTGGTGTAAAACTATTGCAGTGCTCTAACACCAAATTTTATACTCATAGTGGCTGGTAGCTCCATTCTGTGGTTAAGGAAATTTGGGTTTATGGAGCTCCAAAGCTCACTCTCGGGCATAGTTACCGTGCGAATACAGAAACTGTGCCCAGCTGCCTCTGAGCCACTTACAACTACCGGCCCAGTCCACTCTCCTGCCAATGTTTGGGAATGAAAAATTAGAAGCCCTTTTTGAGAGGCAGAATTGGAAGAAAATGTGTTGCCCAAAGTGTGGGCTCATATTTGGCACTCTCAGGGAACTCTGAATTGACTTGACTCGGGCAAGGACTGACTTACCATTGGCCTCTTCCCAAAACATGTCCTGAAGAAACTTCCCCAGGGCCCGGTCATGCTGATGGTCCTGAGTCCCTGACAGCTTGACTTCAACATCAAAGGGGGCATCAAACTAGGAGGAGATCAGGGAGGACCCAGGAAGTGTCAGGCATAACGCTCCACTCCTGCCCCAAACACCCACAATCCCAAAGGAGGCCTGGGCTCTTGGGATTTCAGCACAGGGGCAGGGTGGGAGTCAGGCCTGCGGGCCCAGCAGGTACCAGTGAGGGACAGCTCAGCTACTGTCTTCTTAGGCCCGTTCTTACTGCCCCCACCCCATCTTCATGAGACTTACCTTGTACTCTTTTCCTTTACCTCTAAGGAGGTTGCTGATAAGAACTGTGGGGTCTTCTAGATCAAGCCCTGCCCCCACCCCACCTGGCAGTTTTGGAAGACATACTGTTGAATTTCAGGCCCTGGCAGGGAGATTTTGGGGGCAGTGGGCCCACCTGGCATGCATAGCATGAGTCTAGGTGATGTTTGTATCCCCACCTCTCCCTTCCTGGGTATTCTTGCTTTCTCATGCACAGGCCTCTTGGTTCTGTGCAAAGTTAGGCAGGAAGCTGACCTTTTTCTAGAAAGGTGCTCTGAGCTAAGGCCTTTCTTGTTTCCCTGCCTCCATTTCTTTCCTTCCACAGGAAGAGCGCTCTATTTTCACTATTTGCTTGGCATTCTGTGAGATCTTTCTCTTCATTCACCCAGTAGCTGCCTCAGTACCTGGCCATCTGGTCACTGACATGTCTGCACATCTCCATGAACCAGTAGACGAATCTTTGCGGGGACAGACCTTGGTGACTAGTTCTGCCCGCTACCCTCCAGACAGGAGGTGTTATCTCCACCTTCAGATAAAGAAGCTGAGTTAAAGGACTTGTCTGAAGCCTCAGAGGCACTGGTGGCAACACTAGACTGCAGGATTCTTAAGCCCCCCAGCCCTAGGTGCTCTTTGAGCCCCAGGGTGGGTGCGGCAGTGCCCAGTGGGAGCCCTGTCCTGTGTCAGGCTGGGGCCGAGTGTCTTCCTCTGCTGCGTTGAGTCCTTGGTATCTCCCACCAGGCAGGTACCACTGTTATTCCTGTTTTACAGATGAGCAAAGGTGCTCAGAGAAGAGTTTAAAAAAAAAACAAAACAGCAAATAGCTGTTTGTTCCTTTAAAACAATTTACCTTCCCCACATGTCTCTACTGTGAGGGTGGAGTGAGTGGGGAAGAGCATGGGTGAGTTTTGGGGGCACTTGGAGCCTCCTATAACCTCCCTTCAGTAAAGATTCATTTCTCTTCCACCCCTGTGGCCAGTGTGGGGTGGTCGGATCACCTGAACAGATTTCTTAGGAACCACAGCACCGATCCTGGGGCCTGCTGGCTGGAACTGGCTGGCAGGTGCACTTGAGAGGCAGCATGGTGACTGTTGGTTGGGAGGTGAGCTTCAGGTGACCTCACAGGGCTCCCTTTACCTCTGTGCCTCATCTGTTCAGTGGCAGATGCGGGGTGGGGTGGGGGCAGGACTTGGTTTGAAAAGTCTGCTAGCTCTGAAACTCGATTTTAGGAGGAAAATGTTTGGGGGAAGTTGGGGGCAGGGGCTGCGATGGGAGAGGTGGGACCCTAGGACTGGAGAGGCCCGGGGAGCGTGCCTGGAACTCTGCCCCCAGGTTGCAGGCCTCCTGCCCCACCCACCTCCCAGACAGTCCAGGCTTCTGGTTCCTCGAGGCCAGCCTTCATAGAAACGAAACTTCCAGCTGTCTCAGGCCCTCCTTGAGTCATTAGCCACTGAAACCTCGTCCCTACCTGGGCTGATTCAGAGTTACTCTGTTGGGGGTGAGTACCAGCCTGCAGGAGCTGGCCATCTCACGAGGAAAATTACCTGGCTTCATTTCATGGATTTGCAGGCCATCGAGTGGGAATGTGGTAGGTTGGGGACCTCGAAGGTGTGTGGAGGAAGTACCTGAGAACACTTAAGTTTGGGTGAGGGTCAGATAGCATGGGTTGGGGAGTTCATCCTGATAGGGGAGAGGCTGATGGGTGGTTAGAGAAAGGCCATGGCAGGACACATTTCAGCTTGTCCCAGGCCAGAGGGGATGAGTGAGAGGCACTGTCCACTCTGTTTGCCAGAGCAGTAAGGACAAGGAAAGGGCTTTGGGGGCGGAGGTCAGCCCTGACCTTGAGTCCCACCTCTGCCACGGGTTGGCTGTGCCACCGCAGGCAAGTAAGTTCACTGTCTGAACGTCTGTTCCTCCTCTGTACAATGAGGGCAATAAAATCAGCCCTCAGCAGTGCAGTCACTGCCATTACTACGCACCACTCCTGGGGAATTCTGGTTTCCCTGAATGGAGGTGACTGCCTGTAAACCACATACAGCCAGCCTTTCAGGAAAGTTACCTAGGAAACCCTATAAATCCCCTTTACTGTCTCTCTCCTAGTCCTCCGTTTATCTCTAAATAATTTCCTTGTCCCGTGCAAGATTTGTCACAGCCAAAACAAGCCTGACTGGCCTGTCCTCATCTGTGGATGGATCTCCGTGGGTGCTGGTCACCAGAGCCCGGCCGGCAGTGGCTCGCAGCCCCAGGTAAGGTCTGAGAGGCCCCTGAGCAGCTTCAGTCTACGACTAGCTGTGTCTTCCGTCTCTGGGCCTCTTTGCTACACGCGTTGAGACCATCTGGCGCCTTCTAGCACCCCCTTCTCTCCTCTGCTCATGGCTCCTTGCGCATTCCCATTCTGTTGTAGCAAAGCCACTTCTTTTAGCCATTCGCTTCTTCGTGGGCAAAGACCTCAGACAGTGCAGCCCAGTACAGAGTCAACTATTTTCATGTTATTTTACATTTCTCGAGTAGCTGGTAAGTGGGCCCCTGTTCATGCCATCTCCCACAGCCCTCCCCTTCACTCATCCCCTCACCTGCCACACAAGCATACAACTATAAAGGAACCTACCCGAATTTCCAGCTCATCCTCTGCCCCTTCTGCCTGGGTTCCGTCTTCTGGGCGGAGCCAGCCCTGGAGCTCTCGGGGCTTCAGTTTGGCTGGTGGCTTCTTGGACTCCTTTTTCTGTTGGAGGAAGGTGTTTTTCCTGAGGGCCCTACGTCCCCATATCCTTCCAGAAGCAGAAAGACGCGTGGGTCTGTAGTCAGACCCAGGGTCCTTTTTGCTGTCGGAGAAGGCTGGTGCCTAGAGAGGTCGAGTGCCTGCTCAGGTCCCCCAGCTGCTGCTGTGTGGAAGGGCTAGAATGAGATGCCCCAGTGAGAACGTGGGGCTCTGTGCAGAGGCATCTCACCGGCACTTTCTGGTGTTCAGGGCTCAGGAAGCTGGTGCCAGCCACGGCCAGGTCCATGCAGAGCACACTGAGGAGCAGCAGGCTGCGGATGGCTCCCGGGGAGGGCATGGCCTCAGCTGGGTTGGGACAGACGGGCCTGAAGGAGAGAGGGTCTCCGGGAAGTATACTGTCCCCCCCCCCCCCCCCCCCCCCCCGGCCTCAGCACTCAGAAGGAGCCTGGCAGAAAGGGTGAGGGACTTTGACCTGGGCTGGTAGCGCAGAACAGGGCAGTGGGATTCCCCATGTCCTTTGTCTCAGGCCTCCTGGAGCTTGTGCCAAGTTTCTGAACAGGGCTGATGAAGCCGAACTGCAAGTTCCCCAGGAGACATGGGGGGATCGGGGCAGCTCCAAAGCCCAGTTGTGTCTGCGCAGCCCCAGGTTGTGCAACTGTCCCTTTGTTCAATGGGCCTATGAACAGCCAATAAGTTAAACCTATAAGCGAACCCACAGACAGAGACAGAGGGTGCCTACCTGGAGCTCCTGGTGGGGGTGGTGCCTGGTGGCTGGCTGGTCCTTATATAGGAAACCCTGTGTGTGGTTTAAACCAGAAACCTCCTATCAGGGCAGCCTAGCTTCCAGGTGCTGATTTACATTCCTTGGGTCCTCTGGGTAGAAATCAACAATGGAGGTCAGATGTCCTATGAGAGATTCTTGGGTTGGCATGGGATGGCCATCTGCTTTAGCTGTCCCCAGATGGGCCTGGCCCTGGTTTAGGTGGGAGGGAGGGAATAGCTTGAGGGTCCAGGCCAGCTCTGCTGCTCTGTGACCTGGCCTTACTCTCCTTTCTGAAACCCCCTTCCTCACTGGATAGAACGAGGTTCTCATCACGACGTCACGAGATTTTGAAGAAATTTCTAGTCCTGACATCTCCTGGTCTGTGACCAGTGCTGCTCTGGCTCCCACAAACCTCTGGAGCACAAGGGGAGCCTGGCTCCTGTAATTCTCCCACCTCCGTGGTAAGGGAAGTCCCATTTTCCAGATGAGGAAACTGTTGGGAGGGGCAATGGCTTGAGCTCCTTACCACCCTCCAAGGAGCTGGTGCAGGGATTGCTTTAATCAGTGGCTAAACTCCAGCCATTCCTCCTGGGTGATGCATGATGACACTGCTTGGCTTGATGTTTCTTAATGTGTGGGCTTCCCCTCCCCCCAGCCAGGTTCTGAGAGGGAGACAGAAGAGCTGTGACCTACTACTGGCCCAGGTAACTGCTCATAGATTGGCCTTAGGCAGATCACTAATAATCCCCCTAGTGTCAGGACTGCCTTTCGGAGTGGCTTTAAGGATTAAATGACTTGATACATGTGGAAATCTTTGGACCTGTAAGGTATTGTGCAGATAGCAAGTATTTTTGTATTGGGCCCACAGGGCTTGCAAGCAAATGCCATGGTCACCTGTTCTTGAATGGGGTGTTAATTAACATTGTGGAGGATTCCTTACATGTCTGGAGTGCTTCATCTAATTGGATGCCCAAGCAGTGGCTCCTAAGGGCTGAGTTGTCTGTACTGAAGTCCCAGCACTTCAGAGGAGGAACTCGCTTCAGGCTGGGGCTCCATGCAAGAGGCAGATGATGGAAATGGGGCAGGACTGTGAAGGGAGGGCACTGCTGCAAGCAGAGTGGCATGAGCAAACAGAGGGCATGGGTGTAGAATGTTTGGTGCAATGGTGAGAAGGCTGGGTGGCTGGGAGGATGGTGGCAGTGGTGGGATGGGGTTATAAGGAGAGGCCCGGAAGGCAGTTTATGGTCAGGTTACAGATGGCCTCGAAAGCTGATGGCACAAGGAGTGTGGGCTTATGGGTAGGACAAAGGCCACTGCAGATCTTGAACAGAGTGACAGAACATAGGATAATGAGAGAGTCAGAAAGACCTTAAGGACTCAGAACGCTGAGACTCTTACTTCACTGAAAGAAAAACTACATGCCAGCAGGCCGCACTGTCCCTACAGCCGCAGCGCCACCCGCTGCAGCGCTGGGACTCCCAGCAGTAGGTTCCTGATGCTGCGCCTGGTCTCTCCACTTCCCGCTTCCACAGGGAACATGGGGTCCAGGAAAGGCAGCGTGCTGTGAACCTAGTGGGATGGGAGGAGGACAGACACAGGATGCTAGAGCAGTAGAATAGCAGATCATCAAATGCCACCTGACTTGAAGATTGACTTCAGGGGCTACTGGCCCCATGTGCAGACTCCAGGGCCAGTGGAGGCTCAGGAGGCAGCTGCATAGGCCCTTAGTAGAATGAGGGAGACTAAGTACCCCTGCTGACAAGTGTCACCAGCTGCGGTGGGGGCTGGAGTAAACACGTCCCTGGGAGCTCATCACCTTGTCAGCCACCTGAGCTTAGACCCATTCACCGTGAGCCAGAAAGGCTGATGGTGAAGGATGAGGAGAAGCCTTAGCCCTCAGAGAGGGCCCCCACCAAAAGGAAGAAAAATACCCAAAACCCCAACTATGGTGACCAGGTACCTACTGAGACATGAAGCCTCTGCTTACTGTTGACTCCAGAGGTCTCTGGAGGCCGGAGCTGCAGTGTTGATCTTAGATAACACTGCCAGCAAGCGGACGCCCACACTCGCGGGGTTATCTTTGGGAAACAGAGGTGGCCTGTGTGATGGAAAGAAACCCCGCTGATCACATACCACAGTGGAGGCTGGTGCGGGAAGAAGGAAGATCTGATGGATGGCAGAACCACAGAGGGAGGAGGGTGGGGGCACCCCAATAGCCTGTTGCTGCCCACTCTCCGTTGTGGGATGAGGACTGGCCCAGGGTGGGACCTGCACACAAATCTGGATCAGGGTGTCTTCGTAAGGAAGACCGCAGACTTGGGGAAAGTACCAGCTTTCCCTGGCTCACTTCTTCCTCCTTTCTGAGTGTGGGTGACACCAGGCCAGGTGGCACCTCCCTGCACCTGTATCCTCTTCAGAACTTAGTAGGTGTTCAGTATGATGCTTCCTCCGATTGCTTGCTGGTTGGTCATTTTCTTTTTTTTAAAAAAGATTTTATTTGTTATTTAGAGAGAAGGGGAGGGAGGGAGAAAGAAAGGAAAATATCAATGTAGGAGAGAAACATCGGTTGCCTCTTGCATGCCTCCAACCAGGGACTTCCCCTGCAACCCAGGCATGGGCCCTGACCAGGAATCAAACCTTTTAGGTTGCAGGCTGGTGCTCAACCCACTGAACCACACCAACCAGGTCATTTTCTTTCCATTGCAGGGCTTTGAGGGCCTGCCTTAAAAAAAAATATATATATATATTTAATTGCCCTGGCTGGTGTAGCTCAGTAGATTGAGCATGGGCCTGCGAACCACACGATAGCGGTTCGATTCCCAGTCAGGGCACATGCCTGGGTTGCAGGCCAGTTCCCAGCAGGGGACCCACGAGAGGCAACCATACATTGATATTTCTCTCCTTCTCTCCTTCCCTTCCCCTCTAAAGATAAATAAAATATTAAAAAATATATATTTTATTGATTATGTTACTACAGTTGTCCCATTTTTCTCCCCTTCACTCCCCTCCATCCTGCTCCCCCCTCCCACCCACATTCCCCTCCTTTAGTTCATGTCCATGGGTCATAATTTTAAGTTCTTTACCTTCTACATTTCCCATACTATTCTTACTCTCCCCCTGCCTATTTTCTACCTACCGTCTATGCTACTTATTCTCTGTACCTTTTCCCCTCTCTCCTCCTCCCACTCCCCTGTTGCTAACTCTCCATGTGATCTCCATTTCTGTGGTTCTGTTCCTGTTCTAGTTGTTTGCCTAGTTTGCTTTTGTTTTTGTTTTAAGTGTGGTTGTTAACAATTGTGAGTTTGCTGTCATTTCACTGTACATGTTTTTTATCTTCTTTTTCTCAGATTAAGTCCCTTTAACATTTCATATAATAAGGGCTTGGTGATGATGAACTCCTTTAACTTGACCTTATCTAGGAAGCACTTTATCTGCCCTTCCATTCTAAAGGAAAGCTTTGCTGGATAGAGCAATCTTGGTAGTAGGTCTTTGGAGTTCATGACTTGGAATATTTCTTTCCAGCCCTTTCTTGCCTGTAAGGTCTCTTTAGAGAATTCAGTTGACAGTCTGATGGGAACTCCTTTGTAGGTAACTACCTCCTTTTCTCTTGCTGCTTTTAAGATTCTCTCCTTATCTTTCATCTTGGCTAATGTAATTATGATGTGCCTTGGTGTGTGCTTCCTTGGGTCCAGTCTTCTTTGGGACTCTCTGGTCTTCCTGGACTTGCTGGAAGTCTATTTCCTTTGCCAGATTGGGGAAGTTCTCCTTTATTATTTGTTCACATAATTTTTCCACGTGTTGCTCTTCCTCTTCTCCTTCTGGTACTCTTATAATTCGGATGTTGGAACATTTAAAGATGTCCTGGAGGTTCCTAAGCCTCTCCTCATTTTTTTGAATTTTTGTTTCTTCATTCTGTTCTGGTTGGATGTTTTTCTTCCATCTGGTCCACTCCATTAATTTGAGTTCCAGTTTCTTTCCCATCACTATTGGTTCCCTGTATATTTTCCTTTATTTCACTTAGCATAGCCTTCATTTTTTCATCTAATTTACGACCAAATTTAAACAATTCTGTGAGCATCCTGATTACCAGTGTTTTGAAATGTGCATCTGATAGACTGCCTATCTCTTCATCATTTAGTTGTATTTTTTCTGGAGCTTTGATTTGTTCTTTCAGTTGGGCTTTTTTTTTTTTGTCTTGAGCCTGTTACAAAGTGAGGGGCGGAGCCTTAGGTGTTTGCACTGGCAGGGCAACCCAGTTGCCGGGTTGTGACACTATATGTGGGGGCGGCGTCTGAGAGGGAACAATGACACTTGCTCCATTCTCTGTCGGCTTTCAATCACTCCCCCCACTTTTCATGAGCAAAATGGGCCCTTCTGGTGCTGACACTCAGGTGAGTGGGTTTGTGTACTTTCTAGGACCCTGTGGGTCTCTCCGATGAACTCTCCTGTGAGTTTACAGGAGAGGTGTGGGAGATTCTCCCCACACCTCAACCCCCGCAGTATTTTCAATCGATGTTTTGAGGCTTTATTTCCCCACTCTGGGACCTGGGGTTGCGTGGTCTGCCTCGCTCTCCAGTTTCGCCTGGTTTATGTATGCAAGAATGTGGGACCGCCTGGT